GGGGACACAAGTGCAGCAAGATGCAGCACCTCACAAAATCCCCCCGCCAACCTTCAATGACACCATTCTGCACCAGAGAAGCTACCGAGCTCAACTGATGTTAGCTGACTCACAGTGTAATCATCATGTATCAAAGCAGTCAGCAGTAGAGAACACAGAGCAAAGATGATTAGTTCAAGTTTTATTTTATTTTTATTATTTTCGGGATTAAAACCTCCAATGATATAAAGAAGAAACAGATGTAAACCCCAAATTTATCTGCAGCTGAGACTGCAGATAAGGCATCCTGGTTTCACAAAACTGAATCAGACAGGTGGAGAAAGCACAAACTGGCAAAAGACAGACTGCACAAAATAAATACTGAGAATTGGTAACTCCCCTTCACCTGGTCTCCTCTGCACCCTTCAGAGTATAAATAAAAAAAAAATCTGGAAAATACATTTGACATTGAGAAAAATCACAGAACCATCTAAATTATTTTTATATAGGATGTGCTGATCAGCACTTCCTTCAAAATTAAGAATACACTGCAGTTCAATGTAGATGGTATGACAGCTCTAACGAAGGGCAAATACTGTTTAAATGGACAACACACAACGCATAAATATTGAGGGATATAAAGTATAAGCAGATTCAGCACACAGTTCTAAAATTGACACTCCTATTCCAGTCCCTACAATTAACAGTTTACTTGGGGAGACTTGTAAAGAAATAAATATTCATACAGAAGTAAACACACTTCAACAGAACAGATGTATTGAATTAGTGGGACTTATTATTTTTAATGCAAAACAGAAACTGATTTAACAACCTAAACCAAAGAGCTGATAGGATTACCATTAAAGGTGTCATTAAGTAAATCACCATACTCTTACCACAGTTAGTCCTACATACATGTCCTTAGCATAAAATTTATTTGCTCTTCACCATATGCTCTGGCTCTTCTACCCATCTGTTGAGCTAAAAACCAAAGCTGGAGTAAGAATTTGTCAGAGAAGAAAAAAGAAGTCTTATTTTTCATTGCCAAAAGGACTGCATTTACACCTAATCAATAATTCAGATAATTTTTTGAGTCAGTTCTGTTCCCCACATTGGACACTTTCTCTGTGCTTTAACAAGCATTGAAAATTTACCTGAAGTTTTGTCCCAAACAGTGGTCCTCTGACCAAAAAGTCTGCTCATTAGGGACTGGGAGCTATGTGTTCAAGTCAAGATGAAAGTCTTATGAAAACAGCATATGAATGTCATATTAAATACTGCATATTCAAGTAAACCTCAAGTCACACATGCTCAGACTTCCATAGGTAACCCAATTCTAAATCAAAATATCCATGTCATTCATTCATTCATCTATCTATCTCCTAAAGCCCGGTCTGCTAAATGATGCATCAATGAACTCTGACACCTGAGACAGGTATGCAAAGAAAGTATTTCCAAAGGCTTAGTAGATGAGAATAGATAAGCAACTTGGCAGAAGCCCTGCTCCTGTTTGAGACAAAATCCCTGCTCAAAAGTGGAGTTTAAAAGGCACCTTACAGTTCAGGTGCTTTTTAAACTCCAACATTCAGCTAAGTCAGTACCAACAACAGCAAAACCCAGCATGTGCTAGGAGCAAAGACACCATTTCCCTATTATTCTTTCCTTCAAAGAGGCTATTTAACAGAATATGGGCCTTTTTGCAGCATTTGTATTCTGAATCACAGAATTGTTAAGGTTGGGCAAGACCTCCAAGACCATCAAGTCCATCAGTGGTGTTTTCATTACTACACTATATCCTCAAGTGCCATATCTACACATTTTTGAACACTTCCACAGATGGTGACTCCACCATTTCCCTATGCAATTCAGTACATTGTGACAGTAGACCCCAAGTAAAAGCCAAATGATTGTCAGTGTGCAATATCTAGTACTAACTGATTTTTGTTTTCACCTGTGGGACACAGTAAGAGGCTAAAAACTCGTAGATGCTCCATAACAAACATCTACTACTTCCCATGAGGGATACACACAGAGGACTACTGTGCCTCAAATATGCCCTTAAATGGCACATAACAGCAATCAGTGTGAGAAGAGGAATGCCACCAGTGTGCTTAGCATTCAGGGACTGCACACCAGGAAAGGAAACAACAGTCATAAAACAGTGTATAACTAACCTGAATCTGTAATAACAAACTATATGTGCAATTATTCAAGAATACACAGTTTAAGTACTCTGCCTCAAGCAGCTGCTCATTTTCTGGCTTCTCCTCTCCCAGAACCTACCAAATGGTCAAGAGGTCAGAACAATTCCTCTGGGGAGATTTTCTTCCCAGCCCGCTTAAAAGTGAACTCTAGTGCTTTGGGGATATACAAGCAAGACTAAAACCACTGTATACACCAGATGAGCATCTACATCAACTGTAAGAACCCCCCCGCCTTCTCCTGTGCTCACAACACACCTTTATTCTCCTCAAGCTGATCTTGCAGGCTGTTATTTGCTGATCTCAGGGGCCAGACTTGGCCAAGCAAGTGTGAGCTGAAGTGCTGTCACTCACCTGCCAGACCTGCTCCATTCTGCTGCCCAGAACTGGGCTAAGCATTGCCACACCTTCCATGTGAGCACTGGATGCAAACTACTGCCCTACTTCCTTGATCCTCCCTTCCTGCCTAGCTCACCTTTTAATTTTGTAATGCTGGAAAATGGAATCCACAGCCCAAAGTCCAAGCTGGATGAGCTCAATTTTGCAAAACATGAGGAAGTCTGGATATGTTTTGGTGTTGAGTAAGCAAGATAAGCCCATTATATGGATAGCTTTTCTCTGTGTAATAGAATAGATGAAAGGTAGTTCATATTGCTTAGGGTGGTTTCAGACAACCCTAGGACCAATTCTAAATACCAGCATGAAAGCTGCCCAGAGTAGGAAGCCAAGGGAGATGTCATGTCATAGACAAGTGTTACCTGCCAAATGCCTAACTCACCATTTAGGACTGTCAGGTTGCTCACACTGGAAGCACACCACCAAGCCCTGCTTTGAAATGACACTCAAGTCTCTGCTGACAGGCCAAACTTACAGAAATGTTTCCCTTCCCCATATACTTAACCATTAGTACTAAATCTATTTTCCATTTCTTTTCCCTCTGCTAACATTCTTAACACCCAGCATGTTTCAGGTGTGAGCTAACAGCAAATATGTTAAACTTCTGAGTTTGCACTTAAAAACATCTAACCAAAGCCCCGAGCCCATCCCATCTCTATTTAAATAAATACAGCAGAAGGACTAATAAGTCATTACTGTGCACACACAATACAAATATTGGTTAAGCCAAATAAATCTATTTTGAGGCAGATATATATATATATAGTAGAAAACATATTAAGGGTCAAGTACAAACACCATACTCACTTCACCTTACTTTTTCTTCCAGTTCTGCAGGGAACCTTGCAACATATTATTTCTGCCTCACTGGTATTCAAGCCAAGTTAGAGAATCACAGAATATTCTGAGCTCGAAGGAACCCATAAGGGTAATGAATCCAGCTCTTAAATGAATGGCCCATACTGGGAACAAACCCACAACTTTGGTGTTAACACCCAGCTGAGCTCCGAGCACCAAGACAATTTGCAGAAGGAAACCACCAAAACCAAATCCACATGGAGTTTCAGTTGGGGCCATGAGTAAAGTAGTAGTAAAATAAACATAAAAGTCAGCTAAGGAAAATCCAGGTATTTTAAATAAACTTGCAGACTGAACGGAACTGTTCAAAACAGGTTCTGATGGTTTCATCAACAAGAAGAAAAGCACCAAATCCAATAAAAACCTGCTGTGGTTTTAAAAGGAAGTATTAAAACAAATTTGAACATAGTTCCCAAACCCTGATTTTTGGGACTAGTCCCTTTATCACTGAGACACAAGTGGAAAGGAGAAAGACAGTGTATGACAGCACTGCCCCCACCCCCAACTCCCTTAGAGAAATGATTCAGTTAAAAAAATTCAAGGAACTCTAATGAAAGCCAGGCAAACAACAGATAAATCAGATTACAGTCTGCTCTGAACTCAGCCAAGGTTCACATGGAAGATTTGCAAACCTTTACATTTCTCCTGAGTTGTGACAAGCAAAGAAAGCTGGGATTTTTCACAGTTGTCAGACCATAATGGCAGATACAGGATAAAACATCAAAATAAATAATAAACCTGGAGATAAATTTTTCCTTTGAATTAAATACATATAAAGACAATCCATTCTATAATAAATAAGCTTAGAGATAAATACAAATTCATAATCACCGGATAATTAGTGCACCAACAGTTGCTTCAGGAAGATGACTGAGCAGAGAAGTATCTGCTAATCAGTCCCTTTTGTGCATTTTTTAAAAAAATAAAACAATGAAGGTAGATCAGACCATAGGATATTATCAGCTAGTAAATTAAGTGCTGATAAGTACCAACATATGTTTGACCATTGGCTCAAACATACACAGTCACATTTCATTGTGAACCAGCACAAAAGTAAGTATGACTAAAGAAAGAAGCAGTACTAACATCAGCCTGTGCTTGTGTGATTATTGCTTACTCTCTCACAAGCAGGTGAAGGCTGGAGAAATTTCTCCCTTAATACGTGTGGCTCTCTGTCTACAAGCACAATTTTCAGGTCTGACTGCAGAATTCACTGTCCCATCACAAATCACAGTGATCCAATATTTGGGCTTTGAGCAGTCCCTGTCAGGTCCAGTTCTCTGAATATCAAGCAAGCCCCTACTTGGCCCATCTCCTTCCAGAGGAGAGCTGCATGGGTGAGAGAAAAGAAAAATTTGATCGACTAAAAAACCGCAAGTAAACCAACAGGCTACCAACAGGTAAAAGAGAAAGGTTATGCTGTAGTTTCCTAAATGTCCCAGGAATTCAGGAAAATGAATGTTTCCTATATGTCACAGGAAACAGGAATTCAGACTTGAGTTATAATCCACAAAATAAGACTGAAATATTCTCCAAATTAATGCCAAAAAACAAATACACTTAAGCACAGTTGCAATTAATGTATTGAAGTAATAAAGTAAAACAGAGGTTGAGAAGAAAGATTGTGCCAAGCCTTCACCTCTCAGGCCCAAAGGACAGTTTTGATATTTAATGCAGCGTTAGCAGCTTCCACCTGAACAACAGCAGTATTGTCTTTTCAAGTAAGTCAGAGGTAGTGTCTAAAACAGCATAATGAACAGAGCAGCAGCCTCCAGCTGAGCCCAGCGATGCCAGAGGTGGCCCAGGAACAATGCCAGCTTGGCCACGCTGCCATGAGATCAGCAGCGATCCCTGGAGCGAGCCCTGGCCATGGGAAGCGGGCAGGACGGATACACAGGCGCGCTGGGCACGCCGTCACCAGGGAGATGTGCACCACAATGGGGTACATCTGCTCCAGAGGCCAGCCCCTGTCAGCAGCAGATGTGTGCACAGCTCAGCCAAACAGAGCACTCAGAGACAGACAGACTGACACAGCAGCACTCACACAGCACTCAGCTCACTCAGCTCCACACCACTCCAGGAGAAGGGACCTGGCTGTATGTGATGTTTCACCACATTTCCTCTAGGAAACATTTTTTCATAAAGAGATTACAATAGGTTTCACTTGACAAGTAAAACATTTAGCATAGTTCAAAGATGTCCACTAAGGAGCACAAGTGGGACACAGCAATCAGGATTTAAGTTGCAGATTCATCATCTTCCAAAAGGAGGTCGTTCAATGCAATAACTGTAGCAGCAAAGTCAACCAGCTCCACAAAGTCTGATGTAATTATGTTAACACCCATAACACCAGGCTTCTGTGCTTTCACCCAATTCAAAATCATGGGCAGGTTCCTAAAGAAATTGAAACAAAGAAAATTAAAATAAACAAATATAAAAAAAAAGAAAAAAGAGGCACTTTTCTATACATACGCTAATTTCAAACACAACATGCTGTTTACAAAATATATTATCTCATATTTGTGATCAGAGCCTGGCTGTCACCCTAAATTCAACTGGCTGATGAGATGAGTGCTTAACACAGCACTTGGTCATTGGCTATTAAACAGGTATATTGGTCAGTCAACAATCCAAACTAGAAGGCATACAAAAGCCCTCTATATTCACTGGGCAGTCTGTGCTTCAGGATTTAACACTGCACTGCAACTTTCTCCACTGTGGTTTGTTTTCACCCAAGCACACCTTATGTCAAACTCTCAATTTCACAGCAGACCAGTGTAACACAAAGCAAGGTTATACCTGGCCCAAGATGTTCCCTTGCCCTTCTCTGCCTCAGGGTGGGCAGGAAAAAAGTTGTTGGAGGCAGCACACTGCATTTCTCCCAAACTCTCTCCAGCCTCCAGACCCACTCAGAGCAATGGGGTCAGGGAATCCAAACCTAGAATGAACTTCCATAGGGGTTGAACATCCTGCTATACATCACTGTAACTGGATAAAGGAGAGGTATGTCAGGAACTGAGTCAAATCAAATTAGAAATTCTACCATGAGAAAAATGTCAAGTAATTTCTTGGACACAGTGCAAGTCAGGAATCTGCACTAGCTTTCTTGCACTCTAAGATGAAACACCATGCTTTTCAGCAGTTGACACAAATGACTATGTTAGCATTGTTTAGATTAGTGCTGTAACATATATACATTATTTGAGAAGATGGTAGGCTAGCAAATTAGGTAACAGGATGATGAACAGAAAAAAAAACCAAAAAAACTTAAAGACACACCACTCCTGCTGCATCAGGACAATTAAAAAAAATTATGAAGAACTATGAGTGAAGGCATAATTACTGCCAAGGGATGCAACAGACTTCAGCCAGGTAAGTGTGACTTGTTGCAAGTCTCCTTTAGCAGAGCTCAAGAACACTTAAATATTCAAATTGAGGGCAAAATTTTCCTACAAGAAGGCAGGCATCTACATAAAACTGTGTGACAGATTTGCGTATCAGCTAGCTTGTGCAAATGACTACACAAGTAGTCATGCTTATGCAAACAGCAGAACCTATTTGCAACTTGTGGTTTAATTGCAAACAAGTGATAAAGATGAGGGAAAGGGATGGACTGAAGGCAGGCTCCCCGCTAACACAGTGGCTTAGAGCACAGATCTGTGCCAGGAATCCCTCGAAACGGAGCTGCTAGCCCATTCCCCGGAACGCAGCGATCCTTTGGTAGCTTTGGCCCAGGAGTCCCGCCCGCCTCGGCGCTGCCGCCCCGCAGGACCCCGCACTCGCGGGCCCCCAGCGCCACCTGGTGCCGAGCGGCGCCCCGACAGCGCAGCCCAGAGCAGCGGGATTCACCGGGATTCACGCGGCTTGTGCCCGACCGACGCCTCTAAACAGGAACGGGACAGGAAATCCCGCGATTTATACCGAACCGCCGATTTTCTTATTCACAGAATCACTGAGGGCCTCGGCTGGAAAGGACCTTAAATATCACCGCAGTCCAACAGTCCCTGCCGTTTGCAGGGACACCTTCCACTAGACCAGGTTGCTCAGAGCCTGACCCAGCGTGGCCTTGAACACTTCCAGGGAATGGGACATCCACAAGCTCTCTAGGCAACCTGTACCAGGGCCTCACCACTCTCACAGTAAATAATTTCTTCCTAATATCCAAGAGGACTTTTATAGTTCTGGTAATTTTTAGCAAACGAGCTACATGTTGATAATTCCATAAAATAAATCATATGGAACTCTCTTGGTCATGCTGTTAACGCTATTAAAAATCACTGGCACTCTGTGCTGATCAAAGCAAAACCCTCTTACAGTGACCTTACTCATAGGAAAATTAACTGTACAATTTTAATTATTAAAAAAAGTCAAACGGTGAATTTAATTTTTGGAAAACCATCCCCTTGCCCCTTAAAAATACAAGGTGAAATAATGCCCATGGTCATATACCTCTGGCCATTACTGAAGTCACTGAAACATTTGTATGGACAAATGCAAAACCATGTCCAGAAATAAGCAATTTTCCTCTGTGGCACAAGCTCTTTTCACCCCCCTAAAGGCAACTTCGGCCAGTTTGAAATGAATTATTGGTTTGAAGCCACACATCCATCCTACATTTTACAAAATCATATCACATTCAGAAAAAGTTCCAATTACCAGGAAACACGTTACTTTATTATTTGCACTCTTTATTTTTAATGATTGCAACTATTGCTCATGAACAACAGCACTGAGCAAAACGGCGTGCTTTCAGCAAGCCTAGCTAACATCTCCTAATGTCTTGCTTGCTCAGTGCCTCTTTCAACATGAGACGTGTTAAATAAAGAACTGAGAAAATCAAGACAAGTCCTTACCTAAGAACAAGGGTGTTCTTCAGACCACGAATTAGATGCCACGCAATTGTTTTCACTCGAGGTGTGAGAATTGCTTGAGATACGTGGAAAGTCCCGTAACGACTTCGTTCCCCAAGTGTGGTCTCCAGGAACTGTAGCAGTTTGTGCACATTAGTTGTATTAGCCCATGGTGCTGGCATTTTATTACCTGGCCACAGGAAGGGATATTCCTGATACAAAGGGTGGTGGTAAAATATAAGAACCTAACAGAACAAACAAGAAACAAAACAAAAATTCAATTATTAAATTTTTATTTGAACAGGCTGCCGCATTAGTTTATGTTCATATAGTACTGCTGCAGCTAGCACAGCAGTGAAGAGAACCAAACAAAAAGAAGTTGCTCTTTAGTCAGGAGTGTTAGTATATTTGTTGCACTACTGCCAAAGGAGATGGAGATGATTTTGTTCTGCTTTGAGGACAGGACTGCTTCATGCTTTACGAGTCATCAGTTTAAAATGACAAGTTGCCTCTGTCATTTAAAGAACTCAGCTTAAATGCATTGCAACTTCTTACTGCCAGAAAACACTGTATCTGTACTTGAAGTTAAGGATTTTAGCACTCTTCCCATCTTCTGATTACCTCCTACTAAGAGGGTGAAGTGTGCTGGGCTGATTGGCACATGACTGACATACTGGCATCATGCTCATACTTCCTGCACGAGAAACCAAAGCCAGTCCTGCTGTCAGCAAAACTGTCAAATCCAAAGTTAATACCTTGTAAGGTGCTTCTCTACAGCACAGAGCTTTTTACTAACACCCACATTTACAAGAGATTCATCTTGAACCTTAGCATTGACAGCACCAGTTCAGAATGATTCCTCAAAGCCCCATTTCCAGTTTAAGAATTACGTGCTGCTGCTGAAACCCTTTTCTGTTCTCAGTTTTTGTGTACCTAGAGGAACAGTTACCACAGAGAAGAGGCATTAACCTCACCTCTGCAGATCTGGATGGCTGCAGAGGAGGTAAGAAATTCAGTCCATACCTTTAGTCATGCTAAAGCTTATATGCTCCACGTTGGCCACAATGACAACAGTTAATCAAACCCTCACCAACAGAAGTCTGCACTACATGCCCTTCTGTGAGAAATGGAAAAGTAGAAACTTCCACAGATGCTGGAGGGTCAGCCTTAGAAAGAGCTTGGGTTAATGTAGTGATAAAGATACACAAACATTAAGTAGAAAAATTATAAACTTACATTCCTATAATTTTAAGTAAGAATATGCCTTAAGCAGGTAAGAAATTATATTAGATAAACTAGTGAGAAGTTTAAGCTGTAATAATGTGACTTTTAGGGTAGGCCAAGGATCTAGAAGCTATAATAGAGGTGTGTGTGTGGGTACATGACCTCTCAGTTCATTGGCTAAAAGACAGACACAGTGCGGCAGAATTAGGCAAAGGTGATGGGTTATTAAGTAGAAACAAGTTTTAACTGTTTATTGGACCAAAATGTTATATATTGCTGTGTGAAGAAGAAACCCATGCCTACCTTGAGCTATGGCTGACTTGTTGCTCCTCTCCGAATCTCGCACCTTCAAGACCAGTATCTTATCTGGCTTACTTGAGCAATAAATCATCTTAAATAGCACCGTGGGCCCATCCCTCATTTTTCATCTCAACACCCTCCCAGAAGGGAAAACCCTTTGTGAGGAGCACAAGGCTCTAAGGACACTATAGTTTAATTATTTAACAGGTGTGTTTGGAGCATGACAGACTGGCCACACCATGGATGAGGGGATACACAGCAGCATGTAAAGGGAGAAAAATATGCACACTATGTAGATGAGGCCCTAGTGGGCTTTAACTGACCATCAGCAGCATCCTTGGTCCAATACCTGTGAGTGGGAGCTACACCCAGCTTGTCTCTTTAAAATCTTAACAATCTGGGTTTGAAAAATATTAAACATCCTTTCCCTACCTGGTGTTTCTTCTCCCACATGTACAGTAATGTCACATATTCTACACATTCAACACAACAAAGTTTGGATTCAAATGCTGAGTGGATCCTGTTGATCAAGAAGCGGTGATGGCTGTCATCCATGGCATAGAAATGATTGAAATCCAAGAAGATTACTTCCTTGGGGTGCTGCTCAAGAAAACTGTTCATCTCCTTCAGCCCATCCCATACTTTGATGCCAAACAAGCCATGTATGAAGTAAATCTCTTGTCCTATTTCCCCAGGTTTGGAAGATACACGAAGATCAAAGTAGCGGATTCCACCTTCCAACTGCTCTTTGAAAGTCAAATTTTGAGTAACTGACCATTTCTTCATGATCTTTCTAACCAAGGAAATTCTGGCCAAACGTTTGATAGCTTTTGCTTGGTCTGGTCCCACAGGAGATTTCTCATCAACCCAGTAGCTGAAAGAATCATGTGACCCTAGAAAAAAAAGCCAAGAAAAAATAATTTTAGAAAAACTGACTCTCCCAGAACACATATACCTGTGTGCTCTGAAAACTGAACGAAGTCCTACATGTATGACAGGGGTGCAGAAGTGTTATGCTCACATGTAAGTCTTTCAAACTATCCTTTACACCTTACTTTGCCCTGACAGTATAACAAGAGCTAAGCTTAAACTTCTCAGTTTGAACTGCTTTCTTGCACAAGCTCTGAATTTCAATGCTCTCTGAACAGCACAGAACAAACATTTGTGGTAAAGGGAAACTTCCTTCTAAACTTCCTTCATTCCTTCCTTTACAAACTACAAATCAACCCCCACAGCTTTCTCAGAGCCTGGCATATGACTGATTTAGGATTAGACTCCAGAGTAATTTTAAGAATCTGAGACTTTATTTCTACCTGGTAAGTTCAACTGTAACCTTATACACCAAACATCTTGGAACAGGTATCTTTATCCACATAGTGGATTGAGGGATCTGCACCTGCCTCACCAGCACATCTCACTTTAGCCCTGAGATGGCAGACAAGTGATTAGTAGTTTGACCAGTGGGCAACGACTGGCTGGACTTCAAGGTGGAACAATTGAACACATCACAGTTAGTGTGGATAGATACCAAGCTCCCGTTAAACAAGTTCATGAACATGTCTTTTACCTGGCATGCTTTTGAGTGACCAAAGGTATGGTGAACAGCAAACTCATAAAAAAAAAAATACAACCATCAATCAAAATCACCAGTCCCTACCAAAATAATGCACATCCAAAAAAGCTCCTGTAACACAATCTGTACCTTGGCAGAGAAACTGCATCTCCAATATAAAATTTTTACTTATTAGGAAAACCTCCAATTGAAAACTCAGTAGTAAATGGGAAAAAAACCTACGTAGTAATAAAATGCCAAAAAAAAAAAAGCTTCAGAGTCAATGAAATATTCCTACCTTAGCCAAGTCAGTAACAGAACAAGGAGTGAAAAGGCAGTGTATCTTGGTCTGCACTGTACCAGAACAGCATAAAGCAAAGACTGGCAGAAGCTGATCCACCACAGACTGGGGTTTACCAGGGGTTTCTAATCATTTCCACCAGGCACCAGCAATCTAGCAAAGAAGCTGTAGCTGCTCCAGGCTCATCTTCCTTGTGAAGCGCCAGCCAGCAAAAACATTATGGGGAGCTCAAACAGCCCTTGCTACCCTTTGTCTTCAGGACAGGCGCAAAGAGTTTGCCCTTTAAGCCAAATCCCAGCTGCAACCTGTGGACCCACTTGCTGAAGTGCAGAGAAAGCATCTTCACCCAAGCAGCTCATTTTCCAGCTGCCACCGGGTACAGTGACCAAACACCATGCTGCTGGCATCTGTGTTTTACATTCCTGCATGCTCATCCCTGCTTCTAGGACCATGCTTTTCTCCTCTACCTCAGTCTGCAACTCTTTAAAATCCCTATTTGTCATATTCATCCTCAAGATAACATCTGAGGCATTCATACAGCCTCCTTTATCCAAACCTTTTATTTGTGAACCAGTGCTCACTTGAACACTGATGCATTTCCTGTGATGCAAGATCAGAGCTACAAACAAGATTATGATCGCAATTGGATTATCTTGTTGACATTTTTAATCCAGATGAAAGAACAGACTGCATAAACTAAACATCACTTCTCAATAACCTTAAATGCACTCTATTTCCATGGATTTCAACTAATTTAAAACCACTGAGCAGGTAGTGTGAAAGTTAAGTTTTCAAGCTTTACAAATGAACACTAAAACTAATTCTGACCAATTCTCCATGAATTGCTCCCAGCATTTGTAAAACTGTGTCTTTGTTACGGCTTTCCATTCAGTCTTCTGGACAGAAGTGAAATGCCAAAGATGCCATCTTAAGCAGAGCTTTAGTACCTGTCCCAGTAAATACATCACACAGCTGCTGTCAGTTGTGGAGTGTTTTTTTCCCCATCTCCAAACATCTAACCCCCCAAAAAAGGAGCAAACATCTAGTGAAGACATTTCAGAAGCCATATGATGTTTCAAACTGTAGTTTACAGATATTTGAGCTTCATCTACCTCCCTGTACAGCAGAATGAATCATTCAAGCTTCTACAATATTTGCAAAGTAGACTTTAATCACAAGGGGCTTGCCTTCTACCTTGGAATTAATCACTCTGCACAAAATCTTTCATCTGGTTGTGGTTTTTGTTTGGTTTTTTCCTAGCTCTTAGTTCTATCAATTTTTATTTTTTCTTCTGTTTAGGTCACTGTAGAAGATGGTTTAACATCAAATTAATGACATAAGAAATATTTTCATTTTAACTGACAGTGCAGCATCCTTGAGACCTATAGGAACCACTTGCACCATTACGCTCCCTCAGACTGATAAATCTGACTTACACAGGAATGAGACTTTTGTATGGCCACTAATATATTGTTGTCACCTCAGAAATGTCCAAGTAAATCTGAACCAAAAAACAACTCATTTTCCTAATTCTGATCATTCACTTTACAGCTAGAAAAGTCTTTCCTTTGTAGTTTGTCACTTACAAGGCGCTTTTAAGATACAAAGTGCAGGGAGAAAATTTGCTCTATCACAAACCAAATTCTATTTAGAGCCTAGCACTAGAAAGCAATATCAAAAAATCCCCAAACAAGTCAGCACATTGCAACTTTTTCAACACATAATTTAAAAACTGCACTCCTTAACAGCCAACTGAACTATGTGTGACATGCTTCTATAGTTAGAGAAGATCCTATTAACTCCTGCCCCATGGCTCTGCTAAAAGCCCAGGAAATGGAGCTTCCCTCCTACATTGAAGTCAACAAGTACACCTAGATATAACCAAGCAGAACATGAGTTGAAGCATTTGCAAAATATATTCGCCTTTTCACTGTTGGTAGCACATCACCTTCTAAGGAGGGCAGTGAAGCATCACCAATTCTGTCGATCATTCTATTATCAATACTGAGTCTGGAAAGACAGTAGATTTCAATTAGGTCTTCAGTGGTCATTTAAAAGGGCCAGTCACCAATATCTAGGCCAAACCTGGACCCACAATGTTTTGACTCTGGTAAGAGTAAAAAAACCCAAACTGAAACCCTGCAGCAACAGCACTGGATACTTGTGAGGCTGTGGGGTAACAGCATCATCCACCAGGCCCTTCTTTAATTTAAGATCACTGTGATACACTACCAGCTCAGGCACTGCCGTTTAATATAGCTTAGCTGTGATGTTAAGTACATGCTAAGCTGATTGCATCATGATGTCAAAATAATCCCTGCTCTCCTTTGCTCTCTCCCTAAACTCATAAAAAGTCTTGCCATTCTGTTGCTATGTCAGGAGCCAAGCTGGTTGCTGATACATGTGATACAGCATGATTTCTTTCTGAAAAGGCATAACCTAAACCAACCCAAATCTGTAAAACTTCAGAGGCAAAGGGCAAAGCCTACACTGCAAGAATGGAGCAGACCAGCCCCATTTTGTCAGGAGGTCAGTGTAGGAGCTGCTAAGCAGATTCTCAATTCACATCTAACACAAGGATGTGTGAAGGTACTTGGACACTGCGCAGTGACAGCAGCAAGGCTGGCAGTTCCTGGACAGAGCAAGAACCACAAAACTCTCATAGCAACATACACTGTAAAGTCTTCTCCATCTGTAAAAAATCCTTCACCATCTGTTGCTCCCCACCACACAAATAATGAGCATTGCCTCAAATTATGCTGAGTACTTCTCTTGGGGAATAAAACAACCTCAAGAATTATTGAAGCAAGACATTTCACACGACAATTAACAACTTAAATATAAATAACACCCTATTCAGTAAAGTTATTCCTTAAACCTGTTGATTGTGGACAAAGCAACTAACAAGACTAGGTATTTATAACCTCCACCTCACCCACTGATAAGTCAAAAGGCAGAGAAAAACCAAGAAATTTTGTCTTCATTGTCCTTTAAGTAAGGAGAGGCCAGAACCCCAGCCTGAACCACCTCAAAAACATGTTCCTGCATGTGAAGGACATCGACTTACTGTAGATGAGACCAGATTAATGTTCAGACTGCAAACCTTACTGAGCTGCCCTAGTGACATGGCATCAGTCTGGTGCTCAGCCCTTCCCAAAACCAAGTCAGGCACAGGAAATACAAGGAAGAGATGGTGATTTGACAATTGCTTCCAGCTGGGTAAAGATGTGCAGGAGGAAGCACCAAGCATTACATTTAATCATAAAAGAGACTGCACATTCAAAAACAAAAATTAGGTGACTGCTAATCAACTGGCAGCTTTATTTCAGTTTCATTTCTTTCATCTGACAAAGACTGCTAGCTTCGAGGAAAGAAGTCACATACCATAAAATGCCCAGATATTTAACTATCACAGGCTGTGTTATAGTTAGAATAACATTATATAGTATCTTTCAGATGTCAAGACTTAAAATTATGGATCAACCTCATAATTTTATCCCAGTAATTGCAACTGTGGATTAAATTTCATTCATATCTTTATAAACATCTTTTTTCCTTCTGCTTATAATAATTCCTCAAGTTAATTGTATGTTAAATAGCTCACTTTTCAATTCAATTCTTATGTTAAACAGATTGAATTTCAGTGTTCAGGATGACTTTTTGTTGAAGCCCTTGTACTAACTGTTAGACAGCAGCCTTTTATCATCACATCTGCAGTAAAATCTAACTTCCCAGTGTAATTATCTGTCATGCTACTTACTCATAGATAGTCAAAGTAACCCATGATGGAGCTGAAACAAATGACAGTCATCAACGGAATGTTATCAAGCCTCCACTGTCAACAAATACCAGCTATAGCTCTTCACTCTCATGACCAGTGACAGGACTCGAGGAAACAGGACAAAGCTGAGTGAACAGGCTTACATTGGATCTTGGGAGAAAGTTCTTCACCCATATCGTTGCTAAACACTGGAACAGGGAAGTGGTCACAGTACCAAGCCTGTCCAAGTTCAAGGAGTGTTTGGACAATGCTCTCAGGCACAGGGTGTGATTCTTGAGGGTGTCCTGTGCAGGGCCAGCAGCTGGACTTGATCCTGTGGGTCCATTCCAACTCAGCATATTCTATGATTCTCTATGATTCATTTGGTATTATCTTTTGTTTCCACATAATACTTCCTGCAAATACAGCTGCAGCAGAGGGACAGGGATTAGCATCATGTCACCAAGCCCTTGTAAATTTACCTTCATGGAACACTAAACATATGACTATACAACACGCAAAGCACAGAGATCTTCCAACATAGAACACTACCTGCGCACTGCCAGTCACTCCAAAACAAGACAAAAACTAACGGGTTTTTTTGGATACAAGCACGTCTCCTGGCATATTGCTAGGCTGTGGACTAGTCAGAACCAGCAGCTCAAGACACTTTCTGCATACATCTGGCCAACCAAGAAGCAATACATGAAAGCACAAGGGCAGACAAGTGTGCTGTCAGTAAGCTTAAACAGATCTGACTAAGTTGGATTGATCTTCACGTGAACAGAATACTAACAGGACAAAAATTGCAAAAAACAGATGTTTAACATAACATGAAGCTAAGAAGCAAGGTCAAAAAAACATACTCATCCCTTAAATGCATTACAGGGTCACCTATGACCAAAGAATCACCCCAGCTCTAGTGACGCTAAACTTCTTAGCACAAGCTTTGCTCACTAGACAAAGTACATTCCCCACACATTGCAAACCACTGCACATGGCACAGCACGGCAGGCATTACACAGCCAAGGTGGGCAGAAGGACAGTAATCAAGTTCCAAAAACACAGGATCTAAGTGCTAGAGAGTCAAAGCTATCCCACTAATGTTCTTTTAAACCAGATGTCCTATGGGTGCCAAAACTGAGGGGAAAACGGAATAAGCAAAAGTGCCTCTCAAAGTCTAGAAGTAGAAGGATTCAGGTCATTAACAATCCAGATTTTCTTATTAGAAGATTAACATCTTAAAAGTTCATCACAAATGAAAAGCAAATCAAATAGTTCATACTAACTTGTCCAGCAAAAGAAGATAAGGCAGAAATAAGAAACATCCTATTGATAATCAGTTATCTAAAACTATAGAGATGAGTATATTTTAAGAAACCTATAATAATCCTTTAGATATTCTTAATGCATTTCCATTAAGAAAGGCAAATCCTAATACAGACCAAATCCTCTTAGGAAAACTCCCTCTCTATCCAAGAACTACCCTGATTTTCCCCACTGCCCCTTTCAGGCAGTGCAATGGGATGCAAGAGCTTAAAGACAACCTAAAACTGTCAGACCCAATGTCACAGAGTAGTTTGCTTTTCCTTCCAGACAGAAGAAATCCTTTTGGCACTGGTTGGAGTTATTGCCATTGAAGTTTAAGGTCACTTAGCAATGAATTCCCATTTATCAACAATCTCAGCTGTCTGCAATGGGAATGCAAGAAGGACACACCACATCTCTACCATTTCAAAGCCTGACTGGATCCACATGCCCAAAAAGAAAAAACCCTTTAAGCTTAGAGTCCTAAACTCCTCTTCTGTGACCATTCATAACTTGAGTGGACCAAGGTTTCATTCTCTTCTGAGAAGGCTCTAGAGAAATTTTTATTACATGGTACTTTTCCCTCTTTTAGCATCTTTGCTGGAAAAGCAGGCAAACAAATTTCACAACATGGAACAAGAGCAATAGCCATTTACATCAACATTATGACTAGTCTTCTCTATTTGAAGTAAAAACTTTGGCATGTTCTGCACTCATTTACCATTTACATCTCCTTGGAGATCAGTGAACAGTCAAGTTGAAGACATTTTACCCGAGTCATTTATCAGACAGACTTAAGTCCCTCTCTAGGGTACACATTTTAACAAGTAACTGGAAGAAAATTTTTCCAGATTAAAAAAAAATAGATTAGGACCTTTGTATACTGTCTGAAGAAAATTTTACAGCATTTCAAGAGTAATTTGGTTTTGGCTAAGCAGATGACAGATGTTTTTTAAAAAGAGAAGCCCTAAGACTGGCTTTTCAGGGGAACTCCCAACACAGACCCAGTGCCTGCTAGACCAGTTTCTCACAGAGCAACATACAAAAGGAATACTGGTTACTTAGGAATAGTGGAACAACTTCCATCAAATGCTCTCATCAGTGTAACAGTCCAAATAGTTTAACAGCCTCTAAAAATATTTGAGAGTTGCTGCTACAATCAAATACAGTGGCACACTGTACTGTGGCAAGTTTTGGGCTAGTCATAATGACACTACCATGAAAAAACTATGCAAAGTTATTACATTAAAAAGTTGGCTGGAAAGTCAAGAGTGTTTCATAGGGGGCAATTAGGCAGCTTGACTATGCCATAGTTAGGAACAGCAAAGATTTACTATTTTTGAAGAGCAAGGACACATCTCTCCTTGGGGATCGGTGAACAGTCAAATTGAACCAACTGTTCTGAGTCTCCAATATGTCTTGTTCTGGCTATATTCAGGTCAATATGATTTTCTCTGTTAAAAAAAATATTTCTGGAACCGTGAACCCCATTTTTTTCTGTCAGCTCTGGCTACCTACAACCCATCATCCCACAGGAAACCCCTCAGCAGTTGTCCAACCTGATGCTGACAGGTATGGCTCCACATTCCCAATGCTCTGCCTGACTTAGAAATGAGATTCTGGCAGCCTTCCACATGCATTCTGAGGAAGTGAGAACTACCAGCTGGGATCACTAGAAGATGACAGAGGAGGCCCTGCATACCATCAGAAGCCACAGGAGGAGAGCTGCCCACCTCTCCCTGGAAAGGCAGCCTGCCCTGCCTGCATGTTCCACAGCAGCAGAGCACTCTGCTGAGTGTAACATTTGGCTCTAGGAGTACCAGTGGCTGAAAAACTGACTTCTGGTGGCAAAAGGTTCCTTACTGTTTCAAATCAGCCTTAGATACACCAACACAATACAACACAAACATCTTTACTTCAAAATTTTATAAAACAAATCTTACACTCTAGGAGAAAACCATTGGTGTAAGGTTTTTTTTTTTAGTATCACATTTCAAAGTGCTTAAGTAAAACATTTTTACTTTTCCCAGATTTTCCATCTTTAGCTCTCTTCTTCAGTGACTTCTATCAAACAACTTAGTTCAGATTCAAATTAATTGTTCCCCAACTGAGCTTAGGTTTTATTAATAGCCTTTGTTTCAGCCAAACTATGTGAAAGAAAACAATCACCCATTTATTCTACATACAGTCATTCCACCTGTTGTTTCCTGTCCACATCTGCAGCACCATGACACACCAGGTTACCCTTTGTGTTCCCTTGGGACATCCACACAGTCCAGCACCCACCCTGGGCCTTGCCCAACTCTTTTGTGCAGCTGTTGCAAGCAGCTTTTCTGACAAGAACCACTTTAAAAAAAAAAATAAAAATCCCTCTAAACCATCATCACCACAAAAATCTTCCCTCCAGGTTAGCTTGGGGAACACACTCATTTGTATTTGGAGGGGGAGAGAAAAAAAGGCAGGGGACAGAAGACACTTCTGATTACCTTATGTTATTTACGGAAGGACACCTGTAACTCCTCTGGGGCTCTCCTGCAAGCAGAAGTGGAGCCCTACCTAAGCCATCATATGTTCTCTCCAGAATACAAGGAAAGAAAATCAGCAGCATGGAAAAACTCACAGCTAGCTATCCTGACCAGAACTGGGAACCAGTCAAGGCATACAGATTGATCCAAAACTCCAAGTACACCTGCTACATCGTGGCTCTTACATATTTAAAGCTGGAATAGTCCAGACAGGATTAAGTAAATGTATGATTACCAAGATCCAAAGGAAAACAACTGCCTGCTCTTCTCAAGACATCCATCCAGCATCTTGGAGGGTGGACTAATGAAACACTCAATAAACAAACACTGATAGTTGGCAGTGAACATCTGCTAGACTACCTTACTGCCTCAAACCAAAAGGCATGAGCTTATAACCTCACACAGTGGAGACTGAAAATAAGTGTTTCACCTGTTCTAATACAAGCAGTCATGTAAAAGTTTGATGAAACAGGAAAATGGTGCCATACCTTCAGATGCAGAGACTTCAGACTCTAGCACCAAGGTAATCAAGATACTTGCCTTCCTAAAACTTTCTGCAGCATTTCAAATGGAACAGTACTAACTGCACATACCATGGTGCTATCAACTATTAGGATGCAAGTACAAGCATGGAACAACTAGGCTCTGCAGCTAATTCTTTTAAACAGCTGATTCACTTTGAAAGCTTATCAGTGAGAGCATCCCAGATTTCTGTGTTCTATTTCTACATGGAGAAATAAAAAAGTAGCAGATGCAGATCAACAGATGACCAAGGAAAATGATAAGTGTCACACTGTGATTTTGTAAAATTCTTTAATGTAAACCAGCTTGAAATTAAACAAGCACTATACAATACCCTGCCAAGGGTCACGTCCACAATCAAAATGTTTAAGGGTTCATTTTTAAACCCACATACAAAGAGGATTACTGGAATATAATTAAGAGAAAACCCTCTAGACTTTCACACAAGGTCACCACCACTTGTTGAGAGTGGTTATTTTTGTTGACTATATTGCATGCTTGTAAAGCTGATGACGTTTTAGTTACTTGATATTTGGCAATTTTTCATTGCAAAAGATCCCTCTGCTCGTGACATTGCACAGGAAACCTCATCTCTTTTCCCTGCATATGACTATACTGGTTTAGCATTTTGGCTAGAGTTTCTCCCAACAGCAGCAACAGAAAAGCCCAAATGTGGGAACTGATCACACACAAGCTTTGGAGAAGGGCCTTAACTTTTTCAAAGTCTCTCTTCATTTTGAGCAGAGTTAAATAATCATGTAAACACCCCATATACCTTGTGAATACCCATCTTCAGCATTATTTGCTTGCTGTCAGTTGGTTCTAAGGCCTGAGAAAAGAATGACCTTCTCTACCATCAAGTAAAATGTTTCACACCATTATTTAATAGCTCATGGAATCGCAGAATAATGTAGCTTTAAAAGGACCCCCAGAAGTCACAGCAACCTTTTCTAAATCCAGTGAAAACAAGCAGCTGTGAAAGCAAAAGGTTTGCAAGAAACGAAGCAGAACAACT